GCCATATGGGCACCTTCCTGAGGTTTCTATAGAAAATGAGGCCTATTTGGGGTACAGCTGAACCTCGAACAACATGGTGGCTCAGGGCGCTGACTCCCTGTGCAGTGGAAAATCCACGTCTAACTTGACTCCCCCAAAACTTAACTGCTGATAGCCTCCTGTGGACTGGAATCCTTACCAATAGCATAAACAGTCGATTAACACATTTTGTGTGTTGTGTGTTATATACTATAGTCTTACACGGCAGTAGCTAGAGAAAAGATGTTATGAAGAGTCATAAGGAAGCCCGGCCGGTGCGGCTCAGCGGTTGAGCATCGCCCTAGGATCCAGGAGATCACGGTTCGATTCCCGGTCAGGGCACATGCCCGGGCTGCGAGCTCGATCCCTAGTCGGGGTGTGCAGAAGGCAGCCGGTCAGTGACAGTTCAGACCCGTGCTGTTCAGGGGTCAGCCGTGTTTGGTCCNCTGCGAGCTCGATCCCTAGTCAGGGTGTGCAGAAGGCAGCCGGTCAGTGACAGTTCAGACCCGTGCTGTTCAGGGGTCAGCCGTGTTTGGTCCGGTGACTTACCAGATGTATTGCGTGGCAGGCACCACGTCTGTGCTTTGGGTTTCATGTGAGTAACTTACAAGGTTAAAGTGGCTGCTCATTTAAATACTTGAAGCTCACAAGTAGATTGAGAAATTATAAATTGGCTACATTTTATCAACCTACTTGGAAACAAAATGTTTCTTAATGAAGAGCCTCTTTGGTCCTTCCTTTCCCTTCCTCGCCAGTTACCCTCCGGTTATGAACACCCACTAAAGCCAGAGATTGTTTTCCTTGTTTCTCAAGAGTTGGGGACCAAAGAAAGGCAGGTGGGACCCTAAAAAGCAAGTGTGAAGCCAAAGGTTTCCAAGTCCTATGTAAAGTTGACGTAGGCATTAAAACCCAAATGTTAATATTTCCGTGTCCTAATTGTTACTTCAGTCATATCCGCGAAGCCCGAGGAGGTCGGCGCGGCTCATGTCAGCTCCAGTTTGGGGGACGGAGGGGCCGCAGGTCAGCTGTGTCCTGCACTAGGATTTGGAACCACGAGCAGTGATGGGGTGTCCTGCCGTCCGTGGCCTCTGGGGGTGGCCACTGCCGACAGCGCCATCCGTGTCTGCAGCTGACTAACAGCTGGCGGCGTGGGCACTGCAGAGAGGAGCTGAGGCACCCAGCCTGGTGTGGAAACGCAGGGCCGGTGGCAGGCGGGGCTCCCGCAGCCCTGGGCCCGTGG